ACACCAGCATGAACTCGCCGTGCGACAGAACGACAAGAATGCCCTAGTGGCCGCCCACGCACCCAAGCCAGGGCACAGCTTCGACTTCGAACGCGTGCGAATAGTGGGTCGGTCAAAAGACCGAACCTCACGCCTGCTGCAGGAAGCATGACATTCACGTGCGGATTCAATTAACAGGCGTCTCTAGCTTCTTGATGCCTACCTCGCGTTGCGCGAGCAGATCGAGGGCAGAGGTCACTCCCGGCAGAACCGAGTTAAATACACTGTGAGCTGTAAATTTGTTTAATTCCTTGACAGTGAGCTCGCGGGAGGGTTCGAAACGTCGGACAAATAAACTCCTGGTCCCAGAGGACGTCTTACCTTCTATTCAGTTGCCTGGGCCTCGCATATTCTCGACCATTCAGAATATATACTCTTTGCAAGCGGCCAGACAGAAGCTTGTTCAGAAGACGGCATCCTGACGTGACTGAAATATCTTGAGACAAGGCTGTAAGGCAATCAATATTACTAACCTACTTAAGCACTTTGTCCGAATCGAAAACACATCTCAGAGATTCAGTTTAGGTTTCATGATGTAGGCGATCTACCGTATTCGGCAACTTAACAATGCCAAAGTGGGTCACAGGGTCAGTAGAAAATAGTCAGTGTCCAGGCCAACCCTCTACTTGACACATATGTTAGGGTGGACTATGTGAAGATAAAGGGTCATTTGCAGGTTTAAGGCTATGCATACTTAGTGTGACCAACACGTGCGGACGAGGTGATGCGGCAGGCGTGATAAGCTCTCAACCATGGGTAGAGCAAAGCAGCGCTAGCCCTTCTGCGTCCAGAAATGCTCAACCAATGATAATCGATTATGGACCGAAGGAAAGAACTAACGCGAGGTATTTAACTGCCGGATTGAAGCGCAGATAAGCTAAGTACAATCTAGAGACGACTAAATTGGTCCGGCGCCGTGACAATTAGCAGGGCAGACTTCCCATTGGTCAGCAACAAAGGACAGCTTCAAGAATTTAACCAACGCATTTTCGAGTCATAACAAAGAACCAGAAATAGTTGTTAGAAAAGCGAAAGAGAACCGGAGACCAACCTTCAGAACAGGCCCTTTCAAAGGTTTCAATGGCCAGGGCGGCAACATCGTTGGGATCCTTATTCTCCTTCACCAGAGAGATGACCTTTGCACGTCACACACACACACACA